GATTTCGAGAGGAAACATCGCAAAGCCAAGACATTTGCCAAAGCATTTAATCAATATAAAATATATGTGCACCAACAATATGCATGCACAGGGCTTGGCATGACCAGCCGATTGGTAGAACCAGGCCCATTCTACCTCCACGTCTAGGTGAAGTCAGGGCCGAAGTGGTGTTGTTAGACCGGGAACACTAAACCCTGGCTCCAGTGCCCTCAACCACCCAGAAGTCCGTCCTCCACACTGACACAGGGGCGCAACCACGGCAAACAGGTTTGGTGGACAAAATATCCCCGGGTCCAGCAACGGGGGTTGAAAGGCGCTTAGCGTGACCCAGCACCCACCACGAGGAGGTGGCCTTTCATGGGTGCCACCTAAATTAAGAATCCTCGCACAGGGCTAACTGGCGTGCTGTTCTATTGATGTGTTTGCCCCCTACGTTAAGACGAACGTTACCAGAAAAAAACAAATGATAACAGTTTGATGACGGTTTACGTTCGGATTAAATATCTTCTCTGAATTATTTTAATTACATCTGTCATTAACGTAAACCATATGTGGCAATATGAACGTTGCATTTCTACTACCAGCGTAAATTTAGATCGAAAGTACATCCAGAGGAAGTTGAGTAGTCAAGCGACATTCCACAATTGCATTGTGGGAATGTAAACATTACGAACGTTACCGTGTCGCTGAACTTGTGAGTTTCCACCAGTGATGTTATTAGGGTGCGTGAAGCAACAGCAAACCAAGAAACTGGATGCAACGGTGTAGTTTTACTGTAGGAGGCCATTACGAGGCGATGACAACTGACATGCATCGTGACGTCGCTTACATTGTGACGTAATGTAAAATGGTTCGATTACGAGGGGCACACTAGTATTGCGCAGTGACGGAAAACGTCATTCAATTGTTACGTCATCAAAAACTATACCTTTATTTGTCTGATAATGTATTTTTTCTCGATTGTTCTAACCGCTAGGCATCTTAGAATGTTATATCCTTCATCAAATATACCAGTATTATTATATTCTACACTAACAGTACTATTATTATATCCCACACCAAGGGTTCAATGTTTAGTAAACTCCTACAATAACGGTACTATTATTGTTTTGTCCCACAACAATACTATCATTATTATTATTATAATGCCCTACACCAATGATAATTGATCTATTATTGGTATGCCTTAGACCTGTGATACTATTATTGTTGTATCCTACTCTAATAATTTTATTTTATATCATCAAGTTATGATAGTATTATTGTTATACCCTACACAAACGGTACTATTACTGTTATATCCTACAACTAGCTATACTATTATTGTTGTATCCTACATTAATAATATCACGTTTATATCATCAACGAAATTAATATTCTTGTTACACGCTACACTCATGGTTATATTATTGTTGTACCATACACTAATCGTGATATAACTGTTATATCCTCAACGAATGGTAATAAAAGTGTTCTTGTGGTAGTATTGTGGTAGCGTTGTCATACCTTTTATTTCAATAAGGCAATTAGAAACCGTCTCAAAATGTTAGCATTTAACATGTTTTCAACATCAAACTACCTAAAAAATACACATGTTTTGTCCCTATTGTGGTCATTGGAATTATTCAGAGTTTGTAGTTTGTTGGTACAGTTTTGATGTGTATTTTCTGCTTTTAATTTCAGTTCAATGTGTACCGGGGAAAAAGTCTCAGACCTTTCACTATAATGTGGAAGGAATTGACGGAGGCCTCATGGGACATTGTCCCCAAAGATAGGTATGTTTTACTTGTTCGACAGCTTAAAAATAGCTTTGTAAAGTAGCTATTAACAAAAATGTTCGTATGAGTTGCCCCCACACAACCAAGACAAAAGGTCAGTGGAGTTGTTAGGTTATAATGTTATTCATGTCTTGGGTCACCGTTTTCGCAAATGCCTGGTTTCATGACTCAAAGTCAAACACTGTTGTGTTCTGAACTGTGATGTGACGAACACATGGTTGTCTCAAAATAAACGATTGGTCCTTGCTCTTTGCTATTTAAGTCATTATTTTGCAATGTATAACCTTGGATAACTTTTGTTTGACTGTATTTTTGATATAGTCGAACCGGAAAATGGACTTTTCACAAATTTCTTGTACATATTGATTATTTTTTGTGTGACCTTTAAAATGTTGCGGAGTATATTATCTTACGTCATGTCATCAGAGCCGCAATTAATTGTTACCAACAGCAACAGGAAAGATCAAGATAGAATACGATGAAAGAAATACACAATTTCTTACGTTTTGTATTTTTAGGCAACGCGGCTTATGTTTCCAAGATCGTTTTGATCTTGTCGAGTAAGTCACTGAAATTCACCACATTTCGTATTTATCCGGAATCGTGAAGCAAAAATTCGATGTAGGTTTCTGTTAAAAGAAAAAAAACAGCAAGAAAGGGCCGCGAGCAGCAACATAAGAGGAACATAATGTCTTACTTTTTGTAATTTTAGGGAACACGTTGCCAAATTTCGAGCGACTGCTGGTGGTCACAGGTATGGTCACACAACTGACCCTTTTCCGGACAACATCAGAGACCAAATGGGCAACGTCAGCAAGGTTTGTATATAGGCATACGATGTACGTTATCCACATTGACTGGCGATACTATTATTTATAACAATAATCATTCTCTTTCAAACTCTAATTGTTGTCAGTTTTGTCCGTCATTGTTTAACTTTCTATAATTATCATAACGCAAGTTTTTGCAAATGATTCACTCTGGCTTTAACGTTTATATTCATAAATTCAGAACAGATTAAAGTGAAGTCGACAAAATGTACTTCACATCGTACCAAAGTAATAATTTCTCTGGGGCCATCCAGCCAGATGCCATGGGATCACTTGCAACCTTTTTTTATGTTGTCGACTAACATTTGCCAACTGATTATACATAGTAAGTCAGCATACTATGCTGATCCCTGTGGCTGAGAGGTCAATTTAAATTTGTACCTGAATGGTTTATTTCCAGAAAACTACCAGGAACGATTTCCAAGTGAAGGTGAACTCGAACAACCCCAAGATCAGAGATTATTTTCGTCTTTAGATTATCAAAACAACAAACTCCAAGTATACCAACGCATGGAAAAATGAGAAGAGTTCCCCAATCAGTTCGATTTTGTAATAGAATGTAATTTAATCATTAGAATTTGTGTCTTGTACTGCTATTTAAACCATTGTCTTGTAATTACATTGTGCTCTCATTGTACGTGACTGTCTCCACGACCTGTATTCTGATAGCGCTAGCACATTTGTTGTTCACTAACCTATCTCCCCCTTTCTGTCTTGTCGAAACCACAAAACAATATGTAAATTCTACATCGATTTCACTCCTGAATAATATACCAAATTCGGAATCGGTTGAGTGTGCAATGAGAACGCACCTTAAATAAACCATAAGTAATTAAAACTGATCATAATGTCCTGTTGTTTCTGACATCACTACTATGCTCAAATGTTCAAGCTCAGACAAAGGGACCAGGTCTGAAGTTCAAAGCAGGATAAACAAATAATTCCACAAGTTATGAGACGTGCCCTTCCCCTTCTCACTGATCATGATTTTGAATGTTCAGTACTGTTCTTTTTGACATCACTACGTATGCTGAATGTGTCCATGGATCGTACGTTTAAGCAGGTAACATTTATTGCACATCTGGGGTTGGTGTGCTTAGCTTCCTGGTCCCTTATTCGCGAAACGTTCGTAGCCCTAAGCATTCTTGACTTTGATCGTAGCCAATGTGTTAAGAATGGGCTTAAGATGTTCGTAGGGCTACGAACGTTTCGAGAATAGCTAGTCTGTACTGGTAAATGTAGCTGCTAACAGATACGACGTTACTACAGACGTTCACGGGTAAACATGTATTGAACTGCAACCCACATGAAGGTCTATGTGGATGCAACTCCGCTCAGTAAATTTCGTCAACGTAGTCACCTTATATCATTTTCAGTTGACGTTTCTTTATCAAAATCAAGAACAGTAATTGCCTTTCTTATAGGTTAATGGGTCTTTTTGGAACATACAAATCCAGAACGGAATCTGGTTCTTATACAAGACGTCCATAGTTACTATTCGACGAAATGGGACTTGATAGTTTGATCTCTTGCCTACTGTGTTTGAGGTGTGTGTTGGGTTCAACGTCACCTTGAACAGTGTTCCAGCGATATCAAACCCTGTCAGCTTGATTTGGGAGCAAAGAAATTGATGCTGTTCTACCAGACGTTGACCACTTGTTTCCCAGTTGGATGGATTGATGCTCTTGGTGTCAGTCACCGCAATGTGAACTCGATTATGTACAAACTGCTGTCATATAGCTGGAAAACCTTTGAGCGAAGCGTTTAGCAACAAAGTAAAAAGTTGTTAAGAATATTTTTAATTTCAAAGCTTCTGAAGCAAGATATTGGCGTATGTATGTATGTATGTATGTATGTATGTATGTATGTATGTATGTATGTATGTATGTATGTATGTATGTATGTATGTATGTGTGTGTGTGTGTGTGTGTGTGTGTGTGTGTGTGTGAGAGAGAGAGAGAGAGTGTGTGTGTCTGTGTGTATCGGTAAGTCACAGACAGCCCACACAAATATCAAGCCATGCGTTTTGAAATTATGCACCTGTAAGATTGCTTTAGGAATATATACGATGTAGTATGTCTGCACAATTGAGACTGGGGAAGAGAATAAGTTTATCATACTGTTTGTGAAATGATTTGAGGTATACATTTTACATGTTTACTCTACTGATCATAACGTTCTACGGTGGTCATTTCATGCTTCGGGTTTATTCAAAGGCTGCTGGCCCCAAGCCAACATTTGCGTTGTGCCCTTGCTTATTAAGTCGCAGCTGATGTCATGGAGAATCTGTGGGTTTATAAATAAGACTGTCTTGAATGAACTGATCGAGTGCTATGTCATTGTGGATGTAAGTGAATAATAAGGACTCCACTAAAGCATTTCTACGGCCAACAAATATATATATATAATACGTCCATGCTACATCATCAATGAAAAGGGTGCTTTAGTTAATTGTAAAAACATAAATATAATCAAGGTCTTTTGGTGAAAAAATATACATGATCATAAAATCCCTTTTCACATGCAGAGGAAACTACATCTCGTGCAATTCGCACACCATGTGTTTATATATCACTACAAAAATAGTAACAAGTGTTCGTATTTATATATATGAAGTAAAATGAAAAGAAAACTGTGACGTTTGAAGACACCGCAAAACAAAGAACGCCCATATCGGTCAGCACCACAAATAGATATCTATCACACGTTTCCAACTCTTTCTCACGTGACAGTGACGTCATGTTGACGGGACTGAGTTGGCACCAAGTTAAGACCTATATTCAATGATATTCTAGGAATCACTTGCATTTCAATTGAAAAAACCCACTCCAGTTCCAGGAATTTTGAAGAGATTCCACTTACATATTTGTACATTTGGGATATAGTTTATCACACTGCGGTACAGGAGTCGACAGGTAGGACCCTTGAGTTTTTACAGTTCGATTTGTTATATTTTAAGCAGAACAATGAACTACATAAACAGTGAAAAGGTTATCAGTGTATCTATGTATATACTATTTGCCAAAGTGATATTTTAATAATCTTTGTTACTAACACATTTTGCAGTTTCGAATATATATCCTTCAAAATACTGCAAGATATTTGTGATGAACGATAATGAAGAAATCAAACTGAGCGTCTTGCATGTACACTGTTGACGTGAATTTTTAATTTAAAACGTTTCTCGATGAAAACCATGAGCCGAGATAAATGTTAATCATTTTCGCTGAATGGATTATGAAGCTATGAACCACAATATGATCAATTAACACCTATTAAATGGTTACTGCGACGTATTTATCCTTAGACCTCATTTGCATTTTGATTTGACCTTCTAAAAGAAATGACAACATCTGATCTAGAATGAAATATATAATGCCCTATTTATTTAACATTTTTTGTTATAAAGAACTTCAGGGTAGAGTTTTGCCGAGCATACGTATTAATGATTTAAGATAGCGGGACAGTCACTGTAATGCGTGACTGCGTAATTCCTGTTACTGTTATTGGAGCCTTAGTGATGTAAGCAGTCTAATAAAAGAACCACATCATTATATTTATACGGCATAAGTGACGGGTGCTAATTGTTAAGACATGACGACGGTAAAGATAGAAATGAATCGAACTTATTTCAGCTGTTAATTTCTCTGCTGTAGAGTTGCAGCTCGTAGAATAATGTTTTAGCAATGAAATCTGATATAAAATGAAAAGTAACCTAACAAAAATTGGCTATAAACGTGAAATGATTGCCAGGATAATAAATTCAAGGATATGCTGAGGCTAAAAGAGAAATTTAATCGTTGTTTTACTGGGAAATAATTTCTGATTATGGCAAAGTTTTATATAGTATCATTTAAATCATTAATATGTCCGCACAAATACCCGTAAAGTTACTTTGCTTATTAAACTGTTCGCATTACACAGAGGTAGAATTTAAGATAATATAATGTATTATTGGTTTTCATTTCCAGGTCTAAACCAGTATTTTCACAGAAATGGCCACTGAACCGTATGAACCGCTAAATGGTAAACTATTTCTAGATTCTACACTAATGATTGTATAAATGCTATATCGTGAGCCACTCATTCACTATTGTTGTCATATCTTACACTAACGGTACTATTAATATTTTATCCTACGCTTATGATAATATTATTTTAACATCCATCGATAACAGTACTATTCATGTGATATCCTATGTTAATGTCTGCAACATTTATGACATATCCTACGCTAATGGTAATATTTTGTCATATCCTACGTTAATTGGAAAATTGGTGTCATATCCTGCGCTAATGGTAATATTTGTATCACATCCTACGCTAAAGGCAATATTGGTGTCATATCCTACGCTAATGGTAATATTGGTGTCATATCCTACCCTAATGGTAGCATAATTATCATATCCTACGTTAATGGTAATATTCTTGTCATATCCTACACTAATGGTAATATTCTTGTCATATCCTTAACTAATGGGTATATTGGTATATCCTGAACCATGCAACAATATTGTTGAGTCCTGCACTAATAGTATTGGTATACCCTTCACCCTGTTATTTACAACACTAGTGGTGATATTACTGTTGTCCCCTCTACCAGTGGTAACATTACTGATGTAATGGTACAGTTATGTACTTTCGTGGTTTATATCGTTCGGTTTGAGCGTTTCTAATTGTACCTAGAATCAGCATCTTTTCTGAAATTGTTTCAGTTCACATTTATGATGACTCCGCGGGATGCTGCTCCAGCACCAAGTACTATGTGTTACGGTACGACACGGAAGGCAAGGATAATCCATCATGGAACATAGTTCCATTTAACAGGTATGTCTTATACCATTTTATGTATAGCTCGACATCGGATGTTTTGTAAAAATTGTCTGTAAATGAGAAATATCATTTGCCTTCTGAAGTATGATTGCAAACATGCTGATATGATACAACCACAAGCTTGCTGAAGGTGGTTTAAGGGGTCGTTGGGTGTTAGTGGGCGTGTTTCACGAACACCTGGTGTCCTAACTGATAATCGCTGATCCATTCACTTCATTTGCATTACTGTTTCTCCTTTCACCTACAATCAGTGGTATATGGACTCGTGAATGTCCGGGCAAGAGATAGTCTTCAGAATCCCCTTCTTGTAATGGGATCAGGTAGTCAGGCTTGATGACTTTGTTGACACGGAATCCGAGCTGCCAAGATCGATGATGATGCGGATCTGGTGCAGATTCGATTATTTACAAACCGAAAGCCATGCAGCTGGAATATTGCTGAGTGCGGCGTAAAACAACAATCAACAAATACCAAAACAGTGATCATGTAACCACGACTAATTGCTGTCTTAAGTTCACTGTCATAGTAACAACACGTGCACTGAAAACCCCCACAATATTGCCTTTTTTCCGTTTCAAAACAACATATATTGCAATCAATATACAATTCGTATTTCTTTCTACCTAGTGAGTACAGGATCGAGTTCAAAGCCACTGGACATGGGAAGACCTATTGTGACAGGTCACAGCCCTTTCCCTATGCTATCATGCAAATGATGGAAATTAACAAAAAGGTTCGTATTGTGTCAACGCGTCTGTAATACGTTTTGCATATTGAAACAAATGTACTCACTCATAATAAGTAGCAGTATATCATTCTACCATTCTTGATAAGGACACTAATGCCTTATAGCATGGTTATATGCCTACTGTGAATTATTAGAATAATAGATTATTTTGCAATGATTTTTATTTGCTTGCAGAGTCTCACCAAAGACAACTACGAGGTGAGGATCGAGAAAGACCCGTCGTTCGACTTACGCAGATACTTTCCACAACAGCATTAAATGGAAGACTTAGATTGTCGTCGTCGCAGGAGTGAAACCTTTGCTGCCCTATCAGTTAAATTCAACGTTATGTTTGAATTTTTGAGAATGATATTGTAGAATGAGGACTTAAGACATTAAGGAACATTGTGTTTCATCTGCGATCAATTCTAATGTCTTTGAATCATGTAGTAAATTGATACTGCTGTTGTTGCAGGAATCATACTTAGTGTTAGATAAGCTAAATGAGACCCATGTGTAGTGTTTCTAAGATAGTTAAAAAATAAAATGTAATCAAATGTCCATTTTTTCCCGAGCTGAGGCAACTCTTGTCCAAAGTCAAAATGACTTCCAAGAACTTTATAATAATCACAGAATATGCCCCCGTCTTGATGATTTTTATGTGGAGATGTAACGCATTTTCAAACAGAACGAAGCGTACTGAAAATATAAGGCTAGAGTGAGGACATAGGCAATCGGAGAATGATGCTTCCAATCACAAAATCATCTGTCAAAAACCACTGTTGTGCTTTCTGTGATAGATTGATGTTTGGCACTGAACAGGACAAAACAGAACAAGTTTATCTATAAAGACATGAGCCCCTCGTCAACGGTACTAAATATATTTTACATTCAGAGCATAATGGCATGACATTTCAAATTTCAATTTCAATGTAACCTGTGCTTAATGAATTCAGCTAGATACAACTAGAAACTATTATTAAAGGGTTGTAACAATTGAAAAAAAATTAAAAGGTTTATTAAAGGTTATGTAAGTAACAAAGCTTGTGTTTGTTAATTGTTGTATGTTTGATCGACAGGGTATGAATGTATATGACGGTGATTAGAAGCTCTAGTCCTCTAACATTTGCTTCTGGGGTATTGAGGTCATCTCAGATTCTGATTCACATTGCCGACATGGAACGACTTTACCTAGTCAAGTGCTGGGTCCTTTTGAACTACAAAACCGGTCACAAGTACATATCTGTTCATTTGAGCGATGAGTATTCAAACTTCAAATATCGAATTCACATTCAATTCTTATTACCGAGGTTTTCTTTTCACTGTAGATATAACTGTACTAACGTATATATAACAATAAAGATGGTGGTCTCTTTAAACATTCAAACATTTAACTGAACGTATACTCCTCTTCTCAATTTTCTTTATCTCAAGAGGTGAATCCTTTGTGATACCCCCACTGACTTTGCTGTGTATGACAGGACTGAATGAGATTTGGTGAAGCTTAGTCTCTCACAGGACACCCACTACTGTTGGATTCATACAATTTTCTAAACAATTTATGCACGCTACGCTACCCCGACATTTTATTCAACACGGACGTGAATGACACACCACCACCATGGTCCAGCATCAGTGAGTTATTGCATACGGCTGTCGCCGTGAAAAGCAGGTCAGTTCAATACTGCAGCAAAGCTTAAATATGATATATGTGATTAAGTATTTTTAAGGTCAACGCGTGTGTGGATTAATCTCGGCAAATTATACAATTAAACACAGTTGAGTCGAACTTTCATATGCCGAATTTACGGATGTGTCGAACTTCCTTTTTCTCGAAGTAAGAGTTTGGTCCCTGTTTATTCCTTCCTAGGTTATGTGGCGTTTATACCGAACCTGAGATAACTCGAAGCAATCACGTGGGTCACTTCAACCTCGACACAAGTGTGATGACATAAGGGATACTTAATGACGCAGCCTTTACTTCGACACATCGGTGTTTGAGTGCTATTGTACCGCCTTTATTAGTGCTGACGGTCGGTCACCACATTCATAGAACATAATACTTATCTCACATACATTAGTGCATGGAGCAGTCTAAGGTGCAATTTGAAAATGGGTCCAAGTGGGTCGTAGCTAGGCGATGAGTAAACAGATAAGCTGAGGACATTGTAATGTCACCCTGTCTAACAGTTACCTGAATGGCATAATTCATCCGTCTATGTGTTGAGTATTGATTGCTTGTGCAAGGGAGGAGACGTCTGCGAACAGATTAACAAAGCCTTCCAATGAATGGCAACATGTGTCTCAATATCTCTAGTCATTCTTTTTAGGTGAGGTGGCGTGAGGGGAAATTGGGTTTAACGTCGTGCTTGAGAATATTTCGCACTTTTGACGACGTGAATGCGTGTGAATGTGTATGTGCGGCTGATTGTACTAGCCCAGACTTAAGCTGGTTTTATAGTGCTAGCCCACTCAGATACCATGCCGCAGTGAAGCATGAATACCCCACTCAGACACATTATACTGACTCCGAGCCGACCAGTCCTTGTTGTACCCATTAATGCTGAGCGCCAGGCAGGGACCAACAAGTACCATATTTTAACGTCTTTTGGTATGATGCGGTCGGGGATCGAACCCGCGACCTTCTGCTCTCCGGGCGGGCGCTCTAACCACTACACCACGGAGGCGGTCCATTCGTTTTAGGAAACAAATTCACGTGTACATTTAATAGAGTGATAATGAGGGCAATAGAATACGTAAGTATTGTCTGCATAAAGAAACGTACATTTGAGCATGTATTTAGAAATGTCTCATGTTTTCAAAGTGAACGATGTTTTGTTTGTTTGCAACACTCTGCGATATTATGTGGTGGAGTCTGTAATCGCATCTTGGCTAGAAAATCCAGTGATCAACAGCAGGAGCATCGATCAACGCAATCACGTCACGATGACATGTGTCAACCAAGTCAGCAAACCTGACCACACGATCCCGTTAGTTGCCTTTTACGACAAGAATGGGTTGCTATATATGAATTCTAACCCTTATCTTCACGGGCTTGTGTAATCCAGTACCACGCAACCTATCGTGGTTGTTTTACTGGCGAGTCTGACGTTGCGATAGCATATCCTGTATGACAGTTCTTTGTTGGACTCATTATTACCAACCTCAAATGGTAGGTTTGACTAAAGCTTAAGACAATTTTAATAATTCCATGGAGATGGAATCAAACTGTCGATAGGAGTCCTGCGCAGACACAATAAAGCTAGATCGGAATACATTCCTGATTTCTTGTTTTTTAAAGGAAAATTAATTCTCTAACTAGTACGTTCAATTAGACCGGTACACCGAGGATAGCTGTGACCAGATGCCACATGCAAAATGTGGTCCATTGTCGCTGATGACCTTAGTTGGGGAACTCAGTTCTCCACATATCTGTCTTGTCAATGCAGTCACTCCACTGCTGAAACGTGGCTCAAGGATTCGTCGCACACAGTATAGCAGTCTGACATAATCAGTCCTGCCTCTGTCCTTGTGGTATGTCGTGTGGAAGAGTATTTCATGTGCCTGGGCCGTCTGGTGGTGACATACCATTCATTGTCTACCAGTCTCACAATACCCCTGATAGTTCCGGTCTAGTAGAAACAGTCATTACCATCCAGCTGGTACTTGGCTACTCGTGTATTTTTTGTTGTGTTTCTTTCTTCAGTTTGTCTTGTCGCCTTTCACGATTTTGCCATTATCAGCTGACAGTTTGTGCCAACGACAGATTTTGGCATTTGTTTTGGATTCATTTCCTGGTGATCTCTTTGCGATTATAGAACTCTCACCCTGTTTTGTTGCAGCGTACATGTATGGGAACTCTACTGTGTGAATCGTTGTGTCCACGTCAATATGTGGTCCAGGCTTTGGACTCGTGAAAGACCATGCGCCAATAACATTTCTTTACTGGTTGAGAGATAGATTAGCCACAGAACCATACGCTAGAGCCTCAGGGGGTACATTTGCCAGTTGGACATTTTCCAAAACCGTGTGGTTTGACTCCACCTAAAAGCGCGATCCTTAGATGTACGTGTGGAATTTGGTCCCCCGAACACAGTTACAAGCAATTCTCGTTCAATGTACCGCATGTTGCATCAACCAGGTATTGAATACTGTAGGGGACATTCTCGCGATCTCGCATTCTCGCGATCTCGTCCTTTGGAATCCAGCTAAATATGTCAAAAGAGCGAGAATGCGAGAACGCGAGATTTGGCCAAAAGCTCGCGTTCTCGCGATCTCGCATTCTCGTGTTTTTGGTACATAGCACTTTTTGTCAAAAATTGATAGCGAGAATGCGACATTTGTACATGCTGTCAAATCTCGCATTCTCGCAATCTCGACTTGTCAAATATGGCCACAAAAACACGAAATCGCGAGATCGCGAGAATGCGATCTCGCGTTTTTGACGCTGTCTTTGCGCATGCGTAATATCGTAAGGTCAAGGCGCATGCGCATCTTAGTAGTGCTGTGGTCATGCTTCTTTCATGCTTTTCATTTCCTAAGTAGCATTTAGCAAATCTCGCGATCTCGACTTTTGACAAAAAGTGCTATGTACCAAAAACACGAGAATGGGAGATCGCGAGAACGCGAGATTTTGGCCAAATCTCGCGTTCTCGCAATCTCGGATTCTCGCTCTTTTGGCATTTTTAGCTTGTTTCCAAAGGTCGAGATCGCGAGAATGCGAGATCGCGAGAAGAATGTCCCTTACAGTATTCCATAGATTTCAATGGTAAAAAGGTGAAAATTCGAACGTCTGTAGACAAAGAGTTCGCTAACACGTCGATGCTGACAATTTTCCTACACCTAAAAGGTAAAACCTGCTCACCTCACGCGTGATAAATCGTTCACTTCCTGCTATGAAATATTTCCTGCCTTTCACCGCTCCTACGGTGTGCAGATATTGAGAATTCAATTTCAGTGTTTAATAACGTTACCAGCGCGATGGAGACTAATGAACACAAGCTTGTATTAGTTTTACATTCCAAAGAAATGAATATGGTTCACATCGGTTAGGTCCCGTAAGTCCGACCTTTGGATGGGTGTAAAAACAAACTGGTCGGTTTGCTAGGGTATGGCGGACTCCAGGCACATTTGACGTCACGAGCGGAAAGGTCACGTGGGTTCCAGGGAAATATGCATAATTGCCGAAGTTGAGATTTACAGAAACTGTTTTCGCGATTAAAACATAATTATACATAATTTTCAATTTAAAATATGTTTCTGATGACTTTATCTTTCACTCAGCAAATTATTGCAATTCTCTCGTATTTTCCTTTAAGGTCGACTGATTCTAGACAATGGGCAGTCACTGTTTTCACAACGATACGGTTACTGCTAAAATGTTTGAAACTGGAAAATAACCGAACAAGGACCACGCTGTATACTGTCATTTTCATTTAAGCATTTATTGGAACCGTAATTTCTTTTGTCTACATAATAAATAATACACATTATAAAACATTACATGTACATGTAACATAAAGTTCATAGCGCTAAAATAAGCAACTCTAAATAACAGAACACACAGTACATAATCTGACATTATCTATAAAAATAGTTTATAGGAACACAAATGACCATTTTCTTTGGAATTAAATGAAATGAATACAATTCATATACGGTGAAAGCAGAATATACAGGCAACACAGATGTACCAGAACCAAGAACCAGAAGCTCAACAACTTCACAGGATAGGCGACATTGTCCAGGTACTCCATCAATGTCAGGTCGTTATTTGCAAGCCTGAACTTCAAAGCGTCTAGTCGTCTCTCCAAATCTGTGCTTTTTTCTTTGGCCGGCATTGTACTAGAACATCTTTGCCTCGTTCAGTCCTTGTTCGTGTGCCAAGAACTTGGCCATCTCGTAGAGGATGGAGAGTTTTCAAACAACCTTCTTGAGACGGCCATGTCAACCCTCGAGGTTGTTGTCTGTGCTTCGTTGTGTACAGGTCAGTCAGTGGTTGTGGTCTTCAGGTATTTTGGAAATTATGTCGTTCACTGTTCAGACTGATGATCTGCAGTCTTTCTGAATGCATCTCCACTATGTCCATTCTCCCCTTTTCCTCTTGTTCACAGTGAACATAACCATTTACACATATGTATCTTACATCACGAGAAGTAGGAAGAAACTTATTGTGCATTCGCCATAACTGAAGTTGTGGAAATGACAATGAAAACTGTCAGTTCCAACATTTTTATAGCATGCAAGTTTATGTGAGAGATTTAATAACTAACTTCTAATGAACTGAGTAACTAAACGCACTCACTAAAACCGCTGGTACACATGTCAACCCGTTGAAAACATATTCATATTTCGTTGCCTGAGTGAACACATTTTTCATTTTGTAGAAAACCAGTGTCTTAATTCCTGAAACTAACACCGTTGTCACAACATCAGACATCAAATGATTTTTATCTCGACCAAAAGGTCGAACTTACGGGACTACCCGTTCACATCACTGGTGAGTGGTGACGTGCTTCTGCATGGATTACTAACAAAATAGCGTCCTGAACATAATTTAGAAACAGCCAATGAATAAAAACTTTGTGTATTGCGTGAGTAAATTACAAAGTTATTTTATCACAAAGATTTATTTACTACATTGTCGAAGACACAAACTTCATATCAATAATCATTAATAATTTTTCCTATCGACGAGGGGCGGTTGGGTAGCCTAGTGGTTAAAGCTTTCGCTCGACACGCCGAAACCCCGGGTTCGATTCCCCACATGGGTACAATTTGTGAAGCCCATTTCTGGTGTCCCCCGCCGTGATATTGCTGGAATATTGCTAAAAACGGCGTAAAACCATCAGTCAGTTAGTTAGTCCTATAGACGATATTACCGGTTATCGATCTTTTTAGTCAATCTTAGTTAAAGGTATCTTTTTTCTTAATCACATGTTTCCATAGGTCGTTTTGATTCTTTAACATAATCTGGCCTTGCACTCGCTTGTGTGGTGATCGGACATCACTGTTCGGTGATTCATCCCTTAAAAACTGTTCTTGATTGTTTTAATAGTTGATTTAATCTGTTCTGTATCTCATGACGAATGTGTCCTGCCCTTACCACGCGAGAGCTTCCGCCCAGAGAGCGCAATGTGGCGGGTTCGATTCCCAACCGCATCATACCAAAAGACGTTAAAATACTTGCTGGTCCTAGCCTGGCGCTCGGCATTAATGGGTACATCAAGGACTGGTCGGCTCGGAGTCAGTATAATGTGTCTGAGTGGGATATTCATGCTTTACTGCGGCATGGTATCTGAGTGGGCTAGCACTATAAAACCAGCTTAAATCTGGTCTAGTACAAGCAGCCGAACATACACATACACATGCATGCACGTCGTCATATGAGCGAAATATTCTCAAGCACGACGTTTAACCCAATTTCACCTCACCTCACCTTACCAGGCGAACCATATGGCTAACTCGTGATATTCAGTGTCCATTCCTTTCCAAACATTGAGGATCTTCAGCAACCCATGCTTGCCACACAAGGCGACTATGTTTGTCGTAAGAGGCGACTAACGACATCGGGTGGTCAGGCTCGCTGATTTGGTTGACACATGTCATCCCAATTGCTCAGTACGATTCTTATGCTGTGTGCGGCGTAAAACTAAACTCACTCACTCACTTACTCCAAGCATTAAGGGGTAGCCGCGTGGTTAAAGCGTTCGCTCGTCACCCCGAAAACCCGGGCTCAGTTGCCAACTTGGCTACATTGTCTGAAGCCCATTTCTTGCACCGAATCGCATAAACACGTGACCACCTGTCACTGTTCAAGCGTCAGAGTCGCCAGTAACATGGCATCCTTACAAAGCTTGAAAAAAAATAAATAATAATAATTAAAGTTGCGAGCAACAATTGACGGCTCCTTGGCTTGGATAACTTCTACACATTTGGTACCTGATGTCGAAAGCAGTAAAGGTTATAGTTAATGGTGTTTATTTTCGGGCGAGTGTAGATACAATTTCCAGCTAAAAGCACCTCTACTGCAGTGTATTTTAACTTTGTGTAGCGCTAGCTCTCGTCATTGTCAATTGAAATCGACATCATCTCCCATATCTGCACGTGGGCCACGCTTTGCAGTGGTAGTCTCTCTATAGGAGATATCGTCCTTGCGCCTTATGTAAGCATTATTTATGATGACTGGTACGTTGTTGAAAGTCTGTTTGCGTCATATTTAGCGTGTTCAGCCTGGAGTTGTGGGTCAGTTTGTTTGGTACTCTTTTTCTTTCATTT